TTAATAGCCAATGGCCTTGGTAAAAACTGCTCTAATCCTTGGCTAGTAAAGTAAATCGTTGTAGCTCCTTCAAGGCCCAAAAACCTGAGGGTCTACCCAGGACTTCAGCATGGGGTATGTGTCTTCTGCCAAATGAACAGTTGATGCTTATCGAGCAGTTGAATGAGACCTCTTAATGTCAGCTGACAAAGAATCACATCTATAAAGGAGAGACAAATGAGTTTAACAACTGTACACAGTTGCTCCAGCTGAAACGTGCTTTGATGAGCCATTTGTGAGTAACAGTAAAGCGGGGTTGCAACTTGCCAGGCACAAATGCTTGAGTACAAGGAGGATTGTTTAAAACAGAAACCTGGTTGTCATGAGTTACAGTCACTGTTGAATCGCTAATTATAATTTTCCTTCTTTTAGAAAGCACGGTGACTTTTGAGGAATCAAAAGAGGCTGTCCATTAATAATGCTGATTATTTGTTACTGAAGGTTTGCAAGCGATTGACAAAAGGTGGTATTGTTCAGTTCTAAGTGTTTCCAACCTGCATGTTCTTGGGACAGGTTTTCTTGAAGTCTTGGCTCGTGGATGCAAGTGATTACAAGTGACCAGAAGGAAAATAAACTAAGAGGTGGGAAGCTCTTCTCTAAGAGGAGAACTAACCTCTTCTAAGAGGTGGAGTAAAAGCTCTTAACTTCTCCAATTTTTAGAGAAAGTGGTGGATATTGTGTGTAGACTCAAATCTAAATGTCAAATAAAGTGGATACCCAAATAAATTATGCATTTACCTACACCATAACTTTCAGGTGACTTACTGAGCCTACTGCTGGCCCATACTGAGCCTGCTGCTGACCGGCACCCCCAGATGCCTTTCTGCAGTGCTGCTCTCCACCTGCTCCTTTCCCAGTTTTTACTTGTGCCTAGTGTTATTCTGTCTTGGTTGATATCAGTATGAGAATTGCATCTTGTTCCTTCACTACCCATTTCCTAATGGCTGGTGACATTTCTGGCAGAGCCTTTTTTTTTTTTCTTTCCAATTCAGTGTTGAAATAAGAAGTGGAAACAATACATTCTGAAAAAACCACACAATGTGTTCATTAGAACAGAAGTTGTTAAAATGCCAATAAAATTTATGCCGGTCCTTATGGCACACACTGTAGTGAAACTATTAACTATAACGAAGAACAGAGGGTCAAAAATTTCAGAACATTTTTTAAGTTTTAAAATGCAGTATGCAAAATGAAGTCGTTCTTATTAATTGCTGAGCAGTTGGGCAGAATACTGGACTGCCATTCTTGCCAGGTACATTCAGAAGTATAAAATAAATTGGCTGAATTGTTACTTAGCTGAGTAGTCATTTGCCCAGCCTAATGACATACTGCAATTAAAGTGCTTGAGTATTTATTCATAGCATCGCTTGCACGCACACAGTTATGTTAAAAGACGTGATTACAAAGCAGCCAGGAGTTCTGAGAACTCTCAACAGCTACATTTAGATGTGTAATAGTTGAGTAAAAAAATGGGAAAAAACTCTTTTATTGCTTTTATTTTATTTGAGCTCTGCAAGGATTAGCTTGTAAAGCACTCAGTTTGCAGCTCATTGTATGAAATATATTCTTGATGTTTTAGAGACTTGTGTACATCTTGGACTACTTGTTATAAGAGAAGGGTAAATCTTTCTGTCTTACAGCATGCAATTACAAGTGAATGTGCCTTCATCCTTTTCTAGAGAAGCCTTTTGCTTACAACACTCAGTCACAAATGAACTGTTTCTTACAGCTAAGCACTTTCTGTCTCAATCTTGTAGGTAAAAGATGTCATTAGTAATCAGGATTACCAGTTTTTTTTGGTACCAAGTTTTACCAGGTTAAACTAGTTTCCTGCTACTTCCTTTACATTATTTCAGCATCTGCAGAAATCTACGTATTGTGAGGCCATAGGCACAGAACAGGTATCCTTATAAAATGGGCCTTGGCAATAAAAGGAAGGTGTGGAGGAATGATTGCTCGTTTTCAGGCCCCTGAGTGGCAAATACTTGTCTTGGAGCTGGTTTTTGTCTTGTTCCTGGGTCTGCTGCCAAGCAGCTGAGGTTTTGATTTGAGTGTTTCTTACTGTAGTGGAGGAATGTGACAGCATGAGTATTACTTAAAGCAAAAGGTGCTCCTTTCAAAAATTTCAGTGCTGTGAGAAAATTGAAGACGGGCATTTATTTCCCTCACTGAGTTTAAAGGGACACTGTGAACTTAAAATTCTAGATATTTTTTTCTTCTTTTAAAAATGGTGGTAATGGTAGTGGTTTTTCTGCACACTTTTGTAGTTTGCCATTCTGTTTCCAATCCAGAGAAGTCCTGTGAAGGACTTGCACAGACTGAGTCTTTTCTTGTTGATGATCAGGTCAATCAATTGACCATAAAGCGTTATTAAGCACGAGAGATAGACTGATTGCCTGAGGAGAAATGACAGGGGGAAAAGAAACTAGAGGATGTCCAGCTGAATTGCTGTGATTTAATAACTTACTACCTGTCAGCTGAGCCGCACAAATTGAGCTATTAGCCTGGCCAATTGATAGATAAAATGAGTTGAAGAAATCAATTAAAAAATTAAACCAAACTTTTTTTTTTACCTTCCATTTGGAGTGGAGTAACAGGGCCCACCTTTTTACTACTGCTCAACTGAAACTTGTTAGGGCATTGTAGGCTGGTTGTGTGTTTTTACCCTCTATTGTATTTAACAAAAGTAGGCAAAATGGGTAACAGCAGAAGCTTTTTTGTCCCCATTATTCTTTGACTGGAGTCTATGTGAAAGTTTTGAAGTCAAACATTAGTATTTACCTACAGTGTTAAAATGTACTTTGTTCTAGCAAGTTAAGCTTCTTAAGTTCTCCTCTTTAGTTGTTTTCAATTGCGTGCTGCTTCTCATGGCTTACATTTTCCAGTCATGAACTTTATTTTAATCCTTCAGAAAGTTGGATCTGTGGAATATTTTTGAAGATTAAAAATAGTTTCTTTTTAAACTGCTCTACAGTAGAAATTATTAGTAGTATAAATTGATATGTTCCGTGGAAGTATCTATAGTAAAGTAATACATTTTTTTCTCTTGAGTGATCTAGAAATAAAATGTTTTTATTTGGAAATAATTAGCTACTTATGGGATACATTAAGCATCTGCAAAATAAGGTCTTTAGTACTTAGGTTTTATTACTTTTGGAAAGCCACAGTTCAGTAAGATTATTATATATTAGCTGCTTAATAACCACCATCAGGTCACAGGTGATTAATTTCCCTTTCAAACAGTTCTTGTTTCGTCTTAGTTTCTCGCCTTGTGGGGTACTGCCATAGGTAGATATGTGAAATACTTGATAAGGAAAGTGCACGGTCAACTATGACTGCCACATCCAGGCATTTTCCAACTTCCGTGGACTCAGAGAAAACATCGAAGGGAATTTGGACGTCATTGAGGAGGAAAGATAAAGGAGTTCTTCCAAATTCATGTTGAGAGAAATAAGAAAGGATCTGTGCTTGGCTTGCCTGGGGAAAGGAAAGGAGGTTGAACGTTATGGAATGAATAATCTTCCCCACCTTCATATCTCTAGTTGGTTTCTATCTACTTATGGCCAAATAGAGCATTTTATTTTTTTACTTTGTGTTCAAGTCTCAATTGGATACTAATTTGGGAGGTGGTATAAAGTAATAGAAGTGACAATTTTCAAACGTGTGATGCTAATTTGATTTCTGCGAAGACGGGGAAGCTATGCATGAGTTACTGCATCTTGTCTTCAATGTGTAGCCTATTGCTTTCCCATCAGTTAAGCCAGTGCTTAGAAGACAGATAGTAGTAAAGTAATTAATTGTCCTGTGATAAGAGTTGTTCTGTGCCTGGAGGCCGGTTAATAACAGTACTAAAGATTCAGTAGTGGAGGTGAAATATTTCTTTTTATGTCAGAAATTAAAATAATAGCCAGTAAGAACCACTTCAGATACTGAACAGACACAGAAAAATCATCGTATCTTACATACATGGGCACTACATCTTACTTTTCCTCTTGAACTTTGCAGAGCTGCTCTGCCTGCCCATCCTTTCCCTTTACCATCCCTTTTACTGAAGAGGGCCAGACTCTAATCACTTCTCTCTTCACCCCAGTAACAGCATTAGGCATGTTCTGGGTTTTGACTTACAACAGACTTTTTCTAGTTTTCCATTCCGTGTTCTTCTGTGGACAACAGTCTTCTCTTTCTCTCTTTAGTTACTTTGTAATGATGGAACCAGCAATTCTAACTCCTTTTCCTTACCTTGCCATATTTTTGCTAGTCGGTGTAGATACTGGATGATCAACAGCTGTAGCTTCCTCCTGACATCATTCTTGCCACTGGAATATCTGGTCTCTGGTCTACAAAATAGTGACTGACATTTTCTGAACCCACTTTATTGCCTATAGCTAATTGTTTAGATTTGGATTACTGAGTTTGTTTAATGTAGCATTTTAAACATAATGATGCAACTACAGAATTTTTTAGCTTTGCTTTTACTGGAGTAGTTTAATAATAGTAAGTGTAGAAATGAAACAAATGTGCCAAGTCTAAAAAAACAAAACAAGAAAAAAATTTTGACAGCATGTTTGTTTTTCTTTTTAAATCTAATGAGGTGAGACAGTTGAATTTGAGAGCTGGGTCAAAAGCTTATGTAATTTTGAGACCCTAAATATAGAATGTTGTAATGACACAAAAAAGATCAATCTCTGTGCATATGTTCTGACAGAGTATTTTTGTTTTGTTCTTATTCTGCGCATGCAATTTAAAACTAAGCTGGATACCCTCTGCTTGGACAAATGGTCTTGCTAATATCCCTATCTTATGCTATGTGCCGATTTAAATTGACATGTAGCATATAGGTTTCCTTATTGTAATTGTCTGGGTGTGGAGTCTTTGGGGTTTTTTGTTTTGTTGATGTTAAAATTTCCATGTGGACATTGTAAAAGTTACCTTTTTTTTTTCCTTTTTTTTCTTTCTAACAGTAGTGGAATGGGGTGATGATGTTAAAGCAGTGTCAGAAGATGAAGCTATGGTGCTGGTGAACCATCAAGCAACGGGTGATGTCTGCACTCTGATGATGTGCCTTCAGGATAAAGGCACGGTAGGCTTCAACCGGGGAGTGGGGGAGCTTCTGCCTGTGTGATCCATTACCTTGGGTGTGCTTGCATCTGTGTGTGGTACTGATGACTGACTTTTGTGTGTTAATTCACCAAATAAGATCAAGGCCCTGAATAGGAAGCTTTCTCTTTAGATTTGGCTTAATGTGACAGCCAGTAGCTTGGAGCAGGCTCTAGACCATAAACGTTGCCTTTGAAGAAGGTCAAACACAAGCTGAGTCAGTGTGCATCCAGTCTAGATTAACACAGAGGGAAGCAGATCTCCTTGCCAGGTAATCATCTACTTGACTTTTTCCTCTCACTTCATACCCTTCTGCATCTCATGCCAACTTTGCTCAGGTCTAGTTTCTTGGTTATGACTTTATTCCTGCATGGATTTTGTTCTCAGTTAGAATTAAGTTATGGTAGGAGTTAAGTTTTGGTAGGAGTTCAGAAACTGAAAGTGACTTCCCAATGAGGTCACATCCAGGCTCAGCTAGCTAAGGTCAAAATTGCTTGAGCTCTTATTTCACAAATTCTTTAAGCATTTCTTGGTGAGAAGTGCAAATAATGTCAATTGTTTCATGCTTTGCTGTTCAGAAAATTGATGTCTGGGGAGTGTAGAGCTAGAAACTGAGGTATGGTATCTAGACAGGAAATTAAATTTACATGCAAATCAGGAGGAAGGGGGAATGTATGATTAGGCTACAAAGGGTGGGAGACGTACCTGGCAAGCTGGAAAAATGCATCAGCTGTGTCTGTCTTAGTGCTATCTTCTTTCTTGCGAACATAAGGTGAGGAAACAAGGAGAACAACTGCTTTTTGCTACATCTGTAAAACTTTCAACTGTCACTGTTTTTCGTAGTGTATATTAATTTAGATTGTGTAGATGCTCTGTCTACCAGTGATTTAACATATTTTTTTAGAAATTTTCCCAGATCTTACTTATGACAGCAGAGCTGATTAAAAAAAAAAACCTCAAACAAACCAAACTCAAAAAAGGAGTATGAAAATGCCACTCACTGTTGAGCAGAGACTAATTTATTTATTTCTAATGCAGCCTAGAGAAGACTGTATTTTAAAAGTACTCTTTAATTTCTTTTGGAATTGAGGAAGTTACATGTGTGTGTGTGTGTATATATATATGTGTGTGTATATATATATGTGTGTGTATATATATATGTGTGTGTGTGTATATATGTGTGTGTGTGTATATATGTGTGTGTATATATGTATATATATATATTCTGTATTGTATTCTGTATTGGTATTCGGTACTGTGCTCCAATGAGCAAAATGACAGAATAAACAGTCTTGTGATAAAGATACAACTGTGAGAGTATCTTCCTGTGAAGATGTATTGCATAGTATCTTGACTGTTCATGTCCCAGATGTTTTAAATGTCATAGAGCTTCACTGACTCATTCTTGTATGTATACGAGCCTATATATCCATATGTATATAGAAATCTAATCCATATTTATCTTGTTTTACTCCATAGCCAAAAGGTTTCAGTTAAGATAGAATAAGTTTCAGTGAATGTAGTAGATGTTAAAAGTGGAGGAAAGCATTGAAATGTTAAATAATGTTGTTAGATGTGCAGGTTTTCAGAAAGACAAAACATTCTGAATATCAGTATTTTTTCCCTTAAATAGTTGCAGTCATTGCTCTTGGAATATACATGTCCAGAGCCTAGTATGGCTTTAATGTTATTAGCTAATAAAGAAGAAAGTCTGAGCTTCAGTACATGCTTAAAATATACCACGAGTAGTACAAGTGGCTAAAAATAATGACAAAGATCAGGATAGTTTATCCTTGATACAACTTGCTGAATCAGGTGTTTTTAAATAGCATGCTTCATATTTCTGGAGAGAAGAGAATTGTCTTTACTCTGAGTGGCTGAGAAACCACTGGAGGGGAAAAAAAACCTCAAACCCACCTGTCCAGAGCAAATCATTATACAGTAGGCAACTATTTAAATCAGGTAGTTTTCTTCATGTACAGTTTAAACTTCATGTGGAGTACTTCACAACCTTGATACTCATCTCTTAGGAACAAGGTAGTGATTTCCAATAATTGTTTTTATTTTGGTTAGGATAGTTGAACGGTGCTAATTTCTAAACACCACTCAGACACCACTTTTTAGCTCTCAAAGTATTTTGATGCTGCTTTCTAAAAAATATTAATGTAAGACATCATTAGTGTATGATTTAAAGTTCTATATTTTTTCTGTGTAGTGAAGTAGAATACTGAAACATTCTTGCAACTTGACAGTGTTTCCTAAGGGCCATGTCAGGAGCAGTGATGGCTTTTTTTCCTAGTGTTTTTGGAATTCTTATATTCAAATGATGGTATAGTCTATCTGTTTTAAGCAAATTTATTCTCACTAAGCAGTAAGCAAAAATACATGTGCTAAGATGTTTCTTGTCTTTCACATTCATTTATGTGAATAAGGAAAACGTGACCTCATACTGGGGAAGTGAAACTTAGCTAAAAATTGTGATTTGAATGGAAGAACAGGTCTGCTGCTGTTTGACTAATACCATAGGACAAGCCACATGGAGCAAGGTTTCAGCTGAATCAGAAGTGGCCTAATTACACCTTTTATGTAGTTCAAGAAATTGTTCCAATTTGTTTGAGAAAGCAAGTGTTATTAAAACAAACTTAGTAAGTTAGTTGAAGTGTCATAAACATGAAAGCTTACGTCTAACAAAGAGAAGTAGGTTAAAATGGTGCTATTACTGCTTTCTGACTGGATTAGGACTCATAAATGTGGCTAATTTTTTCTGATTTAGAGCAGAAAGCAGTGCCAGGATAGGTGCAGTTGGGAGAAAAAAGTAGAGCTTGCAGCTGTTACAATACAGGTTTCAACATGTGTTCTCAGGATTCATTATTAAGTTTGAGGAGCTTGAAAGATGAAAGTCAGTCTGCTCAGGTTGCTTTGTTATGAAATCTGTGTGAAAGAGTGAAATGAAAGTGGGCCTGTGAATAGGAGGCACCTAGATTTTTTTATAAAATTAGTAAAAGCTTTTTCGGCATTCTGAACTTACATAAGCAAGAAGGATGAAGCAAAAAGCACCTGAAGCAGCATCCAAATATTCTTTCAATCCTTAAACAACTATGAATCTGTGCTCAAAACACTTCTGAATGTCCTTGCTTAAACCTACTTGAAATGCAAGTGATAAGAGACTGATCTGATAAGCTTTGTTTTGTTCCTGAGGATGCTAAATGGAAGAGCAGCCACCAATATCCTGCAGTGTCCTCTGTTCTGCCCTTGGTAGCAGAACAGAATGATATCTATTAATCTTGTTTGCCTTTTGATTATAAACAAGATAATTGTGCTCTGTTCTCTGAACTCCTCCTTGTTGATTTTATGTGTTAGAGTGTGTATATATGTTCATTAATTCACACATTAAAATATTTTCCCTTTGTACTTATTAACACTGCCTGGGCTTACAGGCAGATTTGTCATCACTGAGCTCTGGAGTTTGCCTCTTTGTAGCCCACTTTCAGGAAACTGCTTGTATGTTTTGTCTTAGTTACGACTTTTATGTTACTCTGATCCCTGACACAGTTGCATCACTCCTTCTCAGAAAGACTGGGGACATCCAGGGGTGCTAGTTAGAAGCCCTGTGTTACCTAAAACATGGTGAGATGAACTTCAGACTCTGAAAAGCAATAGTCAACTTTCAGGATAAACCTACTGTCATTAAATAAAAAGAAAATAGAAAGTGATGTGGGAGAAGAGAAGCTCTAGCATTGCCGGGCAAGAGTTCCTCCTCCAGGATTGCCACAGAACATCTCGGGACCAACGTTGACTCCTCAAAAGACACAAACCATTTCTTTTCATGGAAGCAGATTATCAAGCTTGTGTATCTCCTCCAGTAAAACAGATTATGTTGGTTTAACTTCTGCTTGATATAATAGAACAATAATTGTCAAAATGCCAAAGTAGTAGATGAACACTGACAGTCATATGGGTACTGCTGCAGGCTAAGTCATCATCAGTGGGATTTTGGTGGCGTTTTTATCAAAGGATATGGTTCCCTACACCAGTCTGTTGTCTTTGTACTGGTGTGTGGGCATGAAGTTACGATATCGTAGTGTCTTGAAGAGTATTAACACCTCTCAGTGTTTTAACTCTTGTCCTTAGGGCACACCTTTTCTATCTTTTCCTTCCCCTTCCCTATGGCTTTCTCACTTACTGAAATGGAAAGAATGTGAATCTCTGCAGAGAATAACTTTTGCTTTAAGATCCTCTCTTCTATTTAACACAGGCCTGGGAACAGCTGTGTGAGAAACCATTTCACCAATATTAGTCTCAAGTGGGGAGTTATATCTGGAAACTAATTTTTCTTTTATCACTCACAAATACATAGTGTGTTCCCTTGGATGTGTAGTATCTCGTAGGAAGTACCGGTGGCAGACAGGACAAGATACTACCATGGCACAGAGAAGAAGTGGATGCTTGTTTCTGAAGCAAAACGTTTTGTATCTTTGAGAGCTGTCCTTTTCTCTTGGACTTGGTTTCCTTTTCCACTTCCAGTGGTGCTAGAGGGTCCATAAATGGGTGCTCTTGCATTGTCCAAGAACTTCAAATAGAAAGTTTGCTAGTATTTAAAAAAAAAACCAACCAAAAACAAAAGTTGAGGTGTTCATAGTGTGCTCATAGGCAGGGATAGCCAGCTCCTAAATGTGACGTTCTGATTTTGCTGGGAGATCAGCTGTATGTCTAAGGCAATAAAGCATCTTAAATGTTCTTTGGCAGGTACGTCCTTGCAAGTGTGTAAAAACTTCACTTTGCTGAGCATCTGCCTGCAATTATTTAAGTAAAAGAAACAGGGTATGTGACAGTTATCTTTCTCCAAATACATAACCCAGGATTCATTTATAGCTGCTGTGGTCAAAAGGGAGAATAGGTAATCAGAGCACTCGAAGAGATAATTGGATTTCTTTGGAAGAAAGACGTAAATGTTTTATGCAATTCCAGATACAGATTGCAAATTATCGAGCTGCTTTTACAAAACAGAATTCCTGCATGAAATGTGATCTGCTTCTTTCTACAAATTCCACATAGACATGTGAAGATGTGAAAACAAGTAAAAGCCACCATCCTCCACTGTATCAAACTATCTTGTTAGAAGTATTGAGGAAGGCATGGATACGGATTCTGAGCATTTCAGTTACTGTAGAGTAACTGCTCTGTTGCTGTAGAGTAGGGTAGGCATTAACAGTAGATATACTCAACTAATGCATTATCAATGCATTGTATTTGCTAGAGGGAATCTTTATTTCTGACTTAAAATTGTGGTGGTATGTCAATAAGAAGCATTACTCTACCTGTGTGAAAAGACAGAGTAGAAATTATTCTAGCATATGGATAACAGTGTAGAGTTGTATATTATGTTAGAGAAAGGAAATCTGTTTAATCCTGCTCTTGAGGGAGAAGTGTAGCACCTGTGCTGCTTTACTTTGAGGCGTAAAGGACTTTATTCCATTTATTTGCTAGCTTTGTCACTGTTGCAAGGGTGACGAGCGTGTGACTGGTATATACATAATTCTCTGCACCTCATATTTACTAAACTTTTTTTTCCTAACTTTTCAGGTTGTCCGTCAGATGATGTGGTTGATGGATCATATTTTTAAGTACACAAACTTTGGCATTGTGTCTCTAATCCATGGAGACTTCTTTATAAGACAGGTAAATAGAAACACATAATAGTGCTTTGATTTATCCTTACATTTGGAACATTGTTGTGTTATGGGGCTTAGTCATTACCTCCTGGATGGTCTGCAGGATGAAGTAACTATGGTGTAATGTGTTTATTTGGGTAGGGCTTTGTTCTGAAATGACTTTTTTTTCCAAGCTTATTGTATTATTTGCCTAGATATGAATGCTTACAGCAAATAAAAGTACAAGCAAAGTACGTGGACAGCCCTTCTTGTTTCTCCGCTTCTGACTGCCCGTTTTTGACATTTCTCTTTCCTTTGTGACCTTGCAGCTGTGCAGTGAGTCTGGTTAGGTCATGCTCTGACTGTCAGAGTTTTGGATAAGGAAAGGAAGGACCATCTCTTTTGGTGGTGGCGTGGTGCTAGACCAGTTTAAGGTGGTGATGGACCTGCATCAATAGTAATTAATTGATTCTTGAAGGTTAAGTATTATTTAAGCTTCAGGAAAGAATGTGTGTTCAGCCCAGCATCTCAAATGTAAAGGGGTTAAAACCTCAGATTATTTCTTACAATCTGGGTTTTTTTGTTGTTGTTTGGTAGCTGTTGACCAAACTGCACTCCTAAAATCGTAACTTAGAAGTACAATGGTAAGCGTGAACCTGCTGCCAGTTGTGAACTGCAACATCCAGTGTACACATTTCTTTCCTTATTTTTATTTGCCTGGTCTTAAAACGTATGGGCAGCCAGAGAGAATTAATGAATTTTCATTTTGCAGAGAAGGAGAAGCTAATTTACTCAGAATGAAATGAAGAAATACTTAATCACAGCTATACACAGCTGAAGTGAGATTTCTCACTAAGACTAGAGGCATGGTTAGAAAACCTCAGGCAAAATTAGATAATAAAGGTCTCTGGGCATACACAACTCTGTACTATGAGACTATGAAAAGGAACAGGATTTGACACTTTGTAAAATATAAATCTATTTCAGTAGTTACAATTCACAAGATACACATTTTGAGGTACACGTGGCTGTCACCTTGTTAATTGTAATTTCTTAATGTGGCATTGCAGTTCCAGTTACAAAACCAGACTGTTACTGAGCTGTAAAAACTAAGGCTTTTCTTCATTTTTGTAAAGTGACTGAGTTAGCAACATCACAAATAAAATGATGTCATCATGAATGACATGAACCAATTGAAAATAAGATGCTTCTTGGTTGTTTGTTAGCCTTTGGGTGCAGCAAATACACTTAAAGTGAGTGAGTAGTGACCGTTTGCCTAACTATAGAAAGCCTAGTGATGTTAGGTTGAGAAAAGACTTCATTTTTTCCCCTGTAAAATAATTTGATGATGGTACAATACATCTTACTTGTTAAAAATGTACATTAACCACATTTTCATGAGCAGCGCCAATGGCAGTTTTAGGAATGCTGCTGAGGTCTACTAGAAGTTGACTATAGTGTTCTCTCCCATTGAAAAGTTTACTGGAAACACAGACTGTCGGTAACGTGTCCTATCAGTGGTGCAAAGTGCATGGCATTCTAAAAGAATTTGTCAGCCATCCACTGGTCTCTGTTTTCTTTCCTCTAAAGGAAAGAAGGCTGAGCCTATTCCCTGTGATGGTGATCAACTAGTCATGGTCTTCAAGAATTGGTTGTATTAAGGAGCTGCTTCTGCTTTTGTATGACTCACTCTTTCTTTTTCCTGGGCAGTACATTAATTCCATTTTATCTTCCAGGACTCCTCAGTATTCTAGTCACAGTTGCTTTTAAACACTCCTCTCTTTCCTGTTAGTGCAGTAGATTTTCTGCATTGCAGCAGCATCTTAAACCTCATGGTATTTGCTAAACTGCAGTTTTACCTACCAGTCATGTTTGTTAGGTTTGTTTAGGTTTTGGAGAGTTCTAATATCTGACCTGTGAAAAGTTTATTGTTCACTGCTGTTTTCCTAACTACTGTGCTATCCTGGAGTCCTGTGGTCTGAGGAGAAAGGACTGGTTTAACCAAGGAACTCTTAAATTGCTCTTTAACTACATTAATGTGAGCAGGCAGACCTTTTTCCTTCCCTTTCATCAGGTAAGTTGGAAGTAACTGCAGTCATGAGACTTCAAAATCTGGGAGAAACACTTTCACAAAACTCATCTTCAATAAAATATTGTTTCTTCTTGTCTTCCACTCAACCCCAGTCTTTCCCTTTTCCTTTCTCTGCCAAAAAAACCAACCAGTCACCAAACAGTGGAAGGTTTGTGGCAGTTTTGTTGATGTTTCAGAGAATTCGTATCACCTCTGCTGAGGAGAGCTGAAATTTTCAACTCCTGTCTTTTGATTGGCAAAGTCACTTTGGAGCACTCAAAAATGCTAATTGATGTAAATTCATTCCTCTGAAAATCAGGGTAGCTTGCTCTTGCTGTGTGCAGAAATGGGAAGAGAAGAGATTGTTGTTGAAGATATTGAAAATATTTCTGCAGTAATTAAGGACATATCTTACTATCTTAAGTGAAGAAGTTGCGCTAATACATCAAAGAGGAGAAATGAATGAGTCATTCAAGCAGTGCAGATATGGGTGAAATCTGTGGTTCTGCTGTGGTAACCCAACTCAGGCCTGGTCTCAAGGTCTGTCTCTGGTACCTCTGAAGTTCTCACATAGGATGGGGGTGGAGGAAGAGGTGCGTAGAAGGTAGCATAAGCAAAGATACTGTTTGGCTTGCAGAAATTTACTGATGATGCGTAGACCTCGCAATCATAGCTTGACCCCTAGACTGTGTTTGCAGAATTCAGTTTAGCAAGTGCAACTTGGCACCCAGTAACAGGGAATTCTGTAAATGCATCCTCCTGTTATGTGAAGTTGCCACTTACAGTCTGGACATCACTCTTGCAGAGAAGTCCCCAAATCAGGAGCTTCGTCCTCAATTTCACCGGCTTTTTTTCAGCCTTTCTGTAAAGTGGAATTAATTTGGCCATCAGTCTGAGGAGAACATCATTTTGTGTTGTCTTAGGAACTTATTTGTATCTCTGAAAAGAGTGAAATCTTAGAAATATAATAATTATCTAACAATATTTCTTTAAAGCATTCATTTTAATTAGGTAATGTTTTATCCTTACAGGGAAAAGCACATCGTGACCAGCAGCTTGTGTTACTCAAGGAGCATCTAGAAAAATATTACAGGAGCCGCAATCGGAAATGGATTGTTTTATTTCCAGAGGGTGGCTTTCTTCGGAAAAGAAGAGAAACAAGTCAGGCATTTGCCAAGAAAAACAATTTGCCATTTCTTAAACACATCACCCTACCAAGACTTGGGGCGACACAAGTAATTCTGAAAACACTTGTAGCACCGCAAGAAAATGGAACTCCAGCAGGTGGAGACTCTGTGATAAAAGGTAAAGACCACTTCACTCGTGTGGATGAAAGCAAATTGAACAACCAAATTTGAGTTAAGGAAAACATTTTGTGTTGGATTGGTCTCTTTGAATGTCAGATACGTCCATAATGCGTCATCATATTTATATAAGTGGGTTTTTATTTGCTTTTAGTTGCACTAAGTTTATTTTTTAAATGTTGAAACACACACACAGAAAAAGAAAACCTTAGTTTTAGTTCAATTTAGTCTACAGTGTGGCTGCATGAATGTTTGTCTTGGTACACGTGATGGGTACAGCAGGTACTGGAATGAGCACCCGGAGTGGACAGGAAGGTGGGCTGCTACTTTCAGCAAGACTGATGGTTTGCACTTATTTATGGTAGTATGGAAAAAAATAGTAGAAGTATTTCTGGACTATGCAAGCTATGCTCAAATTTTTATTCCTGGCTTTGAAAGTATTGTTGCATCCAGTACTGTATACGTCAGTGCTGCTCTTGAGCTGTTTTCTGTTGGGTTCAAGTTCTGTTCTCTACAGTTTTTTATGATGCCAGTTGCTGGAGTGAACTTCCCTGATGAGTAGATTTGAAGAATTGGTTTGGATGTCTTATGTTAGAAGAGTTACGAGGGAATAAGAATATTCCTGCAGCATCACTGTTCTGGGATGCCTGGGCTGCAGGGGAAAGTATAGCTGAGATGTAAATAAATAATGCCTGTAGTTATGTATGAGACTTGGTGCTTTTTGTCTCTGTTTCTAAAATTAACTTCTTGGCACATTCTGAGAGCAAGGTTAGATCTGACTTAACCCAGTTGAGGATTTCTGTTACTCATTATAGAAACAATGGACTGGGGTTTGTGGTGGTTTCTTATTGATGGGTAGTACTGGTATTTCCACAGCCAAATTATTACAGTCATTTAAGCAGTTTGAACCAAAGACCCATCCTCATGAAGCCACATATGCAGATGACTGGGTTTTTCTGTGCTGAATTTCGAATTTCAGGGTTAGCAGGAAGCCTTATACAGAGATTGTTTCCAGATTTTTAGTTTTGAAGTTAGTCTGGTCAACATAGGAAATGAAAGGAGATGGTGTTCTTGCAGAGTGGAAGGAATATTTTAAATGAACTGAAAATCAAGCTGTGGAATGCATCAGCATGTTTCCTTTCAGGCTACATTCAGAAAAATCAAGGCTCAAGAAAGCCCTTTTTGTCTTAGAAGATTTTAGGTTTAAAGGAGAGAAACAGAATGGCTCAGTCCTTGTTAAAAGTTATTTTTTAAAGGAGAAAAGTTTGGCCTCTTCCTGTTCCATTTCTTCCAATCTCAAAGGCAAAAAGGTATGAAAAGGAAGAATTTCCCCAAACGAATTAGATGCTTTCTAGTTCTGGAAGGGGACCAAAAGCATTCATCAAATACCAGTTTTATATTTTCATACTCTTAGATTGCTATCAACTTAGCTGAATATCAAACCTGGCACACTTTTTTTTTTTAAGCAGCACGATTCAGACTGTGGAGAAATGAGCAGTTGTTAGTAGTTGACCTAACTGGGTACTGAAATAAAGGAATTGTCTCAGAAATACAGTGCAACCACATCTGCCTGTCCTACTCAGCAGACAGAAGGAAAGACAAGTAGGCAAAAATAGGGAAGAAATGAGTGGTTTTAGCAATCATTCTTTCAGAGTAGAAGAGTAATAGATGTTAAAACATAATAAAAGGGAAGAAAAAGAGAAGAAAAAAATATTTTATATGAAAAATGGGAAAGAGTAATATTTGATACATTTGAAGCTGAGGTATTTTAAGTCCTCTTAAGCTCACAAAAATCTTTCTAGCACGGTAAAACTTCCCTTTCCAAGATGTACGGAAGGTTCTTGATCTATGTCTCGTATAAAGGACTCTTCTGCTAATCTTCTGCATTCACTTTTACCGTACTTTTGCTACTTCGTGAATTTTTGAAGAATGTTTGCTCAGTTGAATGAAATAAAATTTATAGATTTATACAATAATTTATAATGATGAAGTTAGAAGTCTAACAAGTTAGTGGTCGTATTTCCTTTGTATCTCTCTTATCTTTCCCTGGTTTTGACCATGTGAAAAAAGCATCTCGGTGAAATCAAACTTGCCCATATTCTCTTGGGGTTACCATCGCTGTGCTGTGGATGCTAAAGCAGATGTAGTGTATACAGTGAAGATGCTTTGCATGGAGACTGTGCATAACTTTGTGTACTTATTACTGTACTTCTTTGCTTGGGAAGTGGCCTTTTTGTCAGTCGCATCGCACTTGACCTTCGTGGTTCGCTGAAAGCATTTTTCCTCTGCACTGCTTCTTGTGCTCTATCCTGTCTTGTTTAACAATGTTCTTGGTGTCCTGGGTTACCACATTATTCAGCTTACTATAAGCAGCTTTCTTCTGCGTTATTAATCATTCTCTCAATTTTTTTCCTGTTGCCAGCCTTTATTGATAATGATGGGAGTTCACCTCCCTCCCCCACCCATTTTAGTTAAATTGGTTTCTAGATAAAGAGTAACTCCTCCTCATCAAAAATTATGTCCCCTTCCTGGGTAGCTATATTATGATGAGTCATGATACACAGTTGCAGAGTTCTTAAGTGCTGTCATTTTATTAGTACTTAATTCATTTCAAATGATCCTTGTAGCTTTTATACCGTTGTAGATTTTATACCATTCTGCTTTCTCAACTGGAATGGTGGTTGATACTGAGTGAAAGAGGAAAAGACAACAGAAGCGGCTATAATAAAAGATGGTTCATTCTGAATACGCTGCTGTGCTGCACCCTAGTTTGGTCCTGACCAAGTTGTGTGCAGTTGTTTCATGTCAAACCCTCCCCACTCCCCAGCCCACTGGCTTGCTTTTCTGCATCAAATATCACTGCAGATACGGCCGTCAAAGAGTAGTTCAAGAGCGGTGCAACAGCTGAATGCTACATGATCTCTCCTGTAAGGTCTCTAACCTGATTTTCTTTCATCCCTTTGGAAGTGGTGGATTTCTGTTGTGATGAGCACGGTTCAGTAGCCTCCCCAGAATTCCATTGTCCTTAATTATATTAGTACTCTTAACATCCGATCTCCTTTTCGGTTTATTTTTGTACTAGTTATGAATTTTCCACAGTTTATTACCTGATTCTTCTTCTGTAAAGTCACAGGAAGAGCAACTGTTCGACGATCCATGCTCTTTGATTATTCTTTTACTTAAACTGATCCGTTTTTTATTGGTTGCTTTTCCAAAGCAAGCAGCCTCCACTGCCTTTAATTTCCTCCTCCTATTGGTTTCCCAAGACTTCTTTTGTATTTAAAGTCCCAAGTAGTAGCCTTCATCAGGATGAACTTTAACTTATTGCTGGTAATTGCTAAATTAAATTACTGAAACCGTTGTTGCTTTGCTGACTTTTCAAACACTCATGAAATTTTAATGAAATTGTACAATTTTATTCCTAAATAAATAGAAGGATGGAAAAACATACAGGAATATAGTGCTTTTGAAGCTAGAAAATACAGACAGTGCAGTCAAGTGGTGTCTGTTGCTGAAGAGATGGCTTGAGTTAATTCTGGTGTCTGCTGAAAGCGTCCATCTGGGGAGATGTGCTGTGCCCCCCAAACACAGCGCTGCTGCCGGCTCTGCGTTCCAGGAAAAGGTTTTAGTGCAAAATAGAAACATGAGCAGCATAAAAATACTTGATGCATAGCCCCATCGCCCTAGCCCTGGGGGGACTGATGAGTGTGCACGTGGGGTGTATTTGATGGTTTTGGGATTTTAGATTTTTTTAGCAGAACACTTAGTCTCTGATATAATTGCATGTACAACGTTTCTTCAGTTAATACAAATCGATCTTCTGGTGAGTTTTAGAACCAGCAAAATGTTCTAAATGCCAACAGGTGGCACTTCAAAGGAGTTTGGAGCAATTGTTCACCAAAAGTCTGCATTCCAGAGCTTATTTTTGATCAACCTTGCCCTAGTCTGTTTTTTAAATTCTGCTTTATTTTACCATGCAGCAGTTTTTTGTCTGATAAGAGGTTGCTGTGAGCTTGGTTAGAGCCATATTGAAATCTTATCTTCCTGTTTTCAAATGCAGCACAGCACATTCAGTTCTTCTCAGAGAAATTCCATTTTCTCTTCTGCAAAGCTGGACTCTGGATTTCATCATTTATTTGTTTATTTTTTACTCAAACTTTCTGATTCACTATTACACGAGGAATGTGATTGCAGTAACATGTGGGAAGGCTTTTTTGGGATGGTGAGTAAGATGTTCAGTCTGAGAGCTAATCTTTGGGGAAAAAAAGTTAATTTTTAAGGTCAGTGGTCCAGTTGATCACACAAGGACAAGTAAAGAACAAGGGACAAGTGACAAGAACACATTGCTATGCAGGGGGAGGCAGCAGCCTCTTTTGGCTGCATTCAGAGTGATGTAAGTGTTCAGGAAACCACACCTGAGTACTAGTGAATGCTAGTAAATATTTTCTAGTCCAAGGGGAAGCTGCAGTCCTCAGGTTCACACCTGGGTGGTGCATTCCTTTCCACTCCGGATGCAATCCAGCAGTATCGCCCCGTCCAGAGCTCAGCTGCAGGCAAGGTTTTTCCTGCTCACACGTCCTTGTAACTTGCTCTTTTTCTCAGTGGTACGCACTGATGATCTCCTGGTGGGTCTGAAGAGTCCAGCACACAGTCAAATCCAGATTTTAGCATTGGGTGAGAGTAACCCCCTGGAGGGCATAGAGGGGATGAAGACAAGCTCTGAACCTCACTAAATTTGTAATTGTAGACAGTCAAGTATCTGTTGTGAGAGGACCATAGAGGGTGATGGAGCACTGAATGTCTTGAAGATGATGATGGCAAGCTGCTTCATAACTGAATATGAAGCAACTTCGTATCGCTAGAACAAAAATAAAGAAGAAAATAGTTATGAGTGTTTACCTCTGCTGGTGACTTTGAAAAACAACAACAACAAACCAAACCAGATGAAATAAAACCAAAACCCAAGCAAGTTAGGAGACTGTTTAAATTTTATTATGTTTTGACTAGACCAGAAAGCTACTTAGATTACATGTGATAGTTCAGTCTTGCTTTAGCACTCATTAGGCAGGGATGCACCATTCATATTAAGGTATGTTATTACTACGTGGTTTAGATGCAACTGTGTAGGACAGATACCTGCAGGCCTGTTTTGAACATTTATGTCCTACTTAAAAAGAATCAGACTGCTAACAGTTTGAGGCAACTTGAGAAATCAAAATCCTCCTCCTCTGTTGAAGGTTGCAGGCAGACTGAGACCACAGGAGAAAAACTAGGCCTCAGAGAGATCAATTTAAATTTGGCCTCTGCTGAAGTCTCTGGCAGCCAAGCTGCTCAATCTTTCAGCAGGTACTAGAAATGAAGGGTGAGGGTGTCTTTTTCATGGTAGGTAGGAAGTTCAAGAGGGTTTGGCTGTCAGAAACATTTGTGGCTGTGTTGGCCAAGCCAAACTTGGCAAGAGGAGTTTCTGAGCAGGTATGCTCAGCTCCCTTTTTTTCAGCTACAAATGCCAGACCTGAGCTTGACACTGTCTTATAACCAGTGCAGGAATCTTTCTGCTCTGAGTTCCTGTTAGTGTGCTCCACCTAAAAAATAGGGTTTGTTCTTGTTCAGAGGTAGGCTTAGGCTTGAAAGCAGCATCCTCGGGTATACTGAGGTCCTACCCCTTTGGGTTGTGTGCAGTTATCCGGTTCTTTTTCAGTTTTGGGATCTGTTAGAGTTTTGTGACTTTAAAATTAATATGCTCATTACCCAGGCACAACACAGTATAACCCCAAAAAAAGGACAGCAAGTTTTATTTAAAAGTTAATTTTCTTAAATCCACTGTGACTTAGGTTTTTCTGGCAGTGTGAGATCTTGGATAATTATGTAAGGCTTATTTTAAACCAGAGCATGCAGAAATATGCCTATGACTGTGATTTGATAGCACGTCTTGGTAATGGCACGTGGAGGTAGCTGCGCTAAGACCTGCTTCATTGAAGGAAGGTCTGTGTAGGCTAAAGCTCCCTTCAGAAAATGTTCATTTTTTCCTGTAACCTGGGGTTCCTGGAGGGCTGTCAGAGGCAGATTCTTCTCCCCACCCTGCCCTGCAAGTGGCTGGAGGGGTGGTTGGAGCTGTTCTGAGGAATCCATGCAGCAGTGGCTCTGCTCCACAGAAGCAGAAGGTAGGAAAGCAGCACAGAAGAGGACTGCAGGAGTCTGCCCGGAATGAAGTTTGAACCATTGTCCACTGAAGGAACAGTTTCAAATACTAGCTAAATATTTAATAAATTATTTTAAAACATTTTACTGTAAATAATAAGATAATGTGCCTGTATTCATCTGGCACTTTTTAGGTGCAATTAATGATCTTTGTTGCTTACTCACTTGGGCAATTTACTTGTCTTTATCCATTCTTACTTTACGTCTGGGAAAATAATAAATTGAGTGACCTTGTTCCAAAATCCATTTCTAAATGAATACTTCTGTGGATTTACTATTAATTTCATATTGGCTTTTCTCTAATATATCGCTACTTTTAAAACGAAGGACTCTGTCTGTAGGTAGTGCTTTTCTTAAGCGAGACTTGACAAAGCACTCTGTCATAATGCTGGCAAGCCTGGAGCCTCTAATGGGCCCTCCTGTTCTCGTTTCACATGTCTGTCAGGATTTGAAAATACTGTGTTTCCAGAAGGTGACACTGGGGATGTTTCAGCTTGACCTGTGTAGCTTGTACTGGGTCAAATTTTGGCAGAGCACACTGCATGCTACTGATAACTCAGAACCTAAATATTAGGAAATACCGTCTAGCCTTGTTCAGGTAGTGAGTGTGCATTTGTAATAAAGCAGTACAACTCCTTTGAGTAGACACCATGAAAACACCACTAATTGATAGATTTGATAGCGTTGCTGCAATTGTCTTCTCACACTTAATTAAATTAAATGCAAGTTAAAGGCAGGTAGAAACCTGTGAGTCAGCCCTTGCATATATGGTCTAGTTGGTGCTAATAACTGTGGCTTTTAGAGTGCACCTCAGACTGCGTATTGCAGGTTTCTTCATGTGTGTGGTAGCTCTTCTGTAAAATTCAAGTGGCAATTTTAGGCAAGAGCAAACATCTGCCCAACATCTTGTTTGTCCGTGACTCCAGGTGGGTATCAGAGGAAGAGTGTGAACACTGCAAATATGCATCCTCCTTCTCTCGCATACTCTCCTTGCTTCCGACTGTTTCCAGTGTGGGAGGCTTCCCAAGCCAGGTGGGGGTGTCTGCCTCTTTAGTTAACCCTCCAACAGGTTTCTTCCTTGTTCTTGCCCGATTTCCTCTTGAACCCAACTCGAGATTTTTGACGTCCTTTGGCAAGGGGTTCCCCACAGTTTTATTCCTTTCTGCACAAAGAATCATTTCTCTCTGTTTGCTTTGAAAACTTTTCCTCCTGGCTCCATTTTTAATACATCTATTCTCGTGTTGAGAAGGAGCGGTCTATCCCTGGGCACGTTCTTTGTGCCGGCAGTGTTTTTGTCAGCCTCGGTCGTGTTTCTTTCATAGCTGTCTCAGCTGCAGGCTTGAGGAGTCTTGTACTTTGTGCTAAGACCTAACACCTCTTACATCCTTCTGCCAACAGGTGGCTGGCTTTAGTAGTCAACTTCTAAAATGCTTTAAGATATTGCTGGGTATGATGTAAGCATCTTACTATACTAGCCCAAACACAACATGACCTCAGAGACAAAACAACTCCAGTTCCCACAGAATAGACACAAAATTGACAAGGGAAGCTCAAAGTGCCACCTTGGCAATGCGCCCCTCCTTCCTGCTTTGCTTTCTGGGTCTGCTGCTCTCTCTCTTTGCAAACCTGTGCATTGAAGACGTGCCGGAGAGAGGTCATGGCTGGGTTGATACCTGACCTTGACTGTTGCTGGTAGTAACCTATGTTCAGATGTAAATTTGACTCTCCTGAATTAATCTTTATAGCACATATTTTCACCTCCTTTGGTCTTTTTTTCAGTTTCTAAATATGCTAAGCAGCATATGAACATGGACTGGTATCAGTCTTTCTGGGACCTTGTAGATGCAGTCTCTTCTCCATCTGCTGTTTGCTGCTTTCTTGACTTTAATATGCAAAGTGGTGTATTTCTTCTTTATCATGTAGCTTAGATTTTTAAGAACCTTTGAGGGATCTGCGTAGCTGTTGCTTCATCGATGAGCTGCAACTGCAAGCTCTTACAAAGGCTGAGCTTGCCGAGCAAGGCTGAGCTTGTAAATGTGCTTAAAGTGCAGACCAAGAAAGTTGGATTTGTGTTTTTGAAGGTTTGCTTTTGGTGAATGGGGGAAAGCACCTAACATTTGGGCCAACATGTTATGTGACTGTACCCGTATCCAGCGAATGAACTTGTTCTATTCTATTCTATGTACTACAATATGTCAGAACAACAGAAATAACCATGAGAGTAAAATCTTGGTCTGGCTGAATTTTGTAAGAGTATTTCTGTACTCTGTAGTGAAATCTGAATTTGATTTTTGGCTGTCTTATTTTATTTGCGCCTCACACCTCATGAAGTAGTATAAAAATGGAATCACTATCAAATAAGTGACGTGCACTTTCTGATTACTTTTAATATGACATTTCTTTTTGTTCCTAGAGAGCAAATCAAAAGGCCTCCAGTGGGTGATAGACACAACCATTGCGTATCCCAAAGGTGAACCTATAGACATCCAAACTTGGATTCTTGGCTACAGACAACCAACAGTTACGCATGTACATTACAGGTAGGAAATAAACCTTTTATTCTTACATTGAACTAAAATATTAAAAAATAACTATTCACAAATTAGTAACATCACGTTTCAGGATACACAAAATCAGTAGCAACATCTTTTTAATGCGCATCTCTCACAGCTGGGCAATATTATCTAAACACAATGCAGTTTTCTTTTGAGAAGTTCAGTGACCACTCCATATCATAGCCCATTTAAGTTTTTGGCTGATGTCCTGTGGCTAAATATAGTTACGGGGAATATATTTGATGGCTAGGTCATCTTTTCCACTTTAACATTAAGCATAAATGTCTGGTAAACCAAACTGGATTTTTTTTTTCTTAATAATAACAACAAATTAAAAATCACTGTGTTAATAATATCTCAGGAAAGCTGTTATTTAATATTTATTGTATTTTTTCTGATGAAGAAATGTCAGCTTTTTCACTCAAAGCATACTCTTAATGATTGAGCAGAGCCGCACTCAGGAAGTAGTAGCAAATCCCATTGACACTTAGGATGAGGTACTGTTAAAACTTTTCTCCTCAGCAGTTCTTTGTCTCAAGACCTAAACTAAAGGACAGAGAAGTTGCATTTTGCTTTTGATTTGCAGTTAACTGCAAGTCTGAAATCTCCAGAAATATGTTAACACTCTTCTTATACCAAATAAATTAATCACATTTTATCCCCAAATTGCATTGTTTTGCCTTAATTCCCTTCTACTGATTTGGGGAGCTTCTAGACCTTTACAGTAAGCTTTTGGTGATCCTTGCGCCGATCCCCTGGGTGACAGCTTAACTGGGAATGACCTTGTCCAGCGTCACTGCTGTGTCAGTGCTGTGTGGTGCAGAGTACAGGCTGCTCACTGGAGCTCCTCTCCACAGCCATGTTTCAATCTGTCCCTGCTTTTTATAGAAATCTGCCTTCTAGTTTTTCCGAAGGTGAACATACTTACACCCTAATTTATGTAAGGTATCTGTTGTGCTTTATTCAGGTCACCTTAGTACTCTCTCAGATCCCTGGGGTAATTGCAAGTTGAATGTATTTAGAATTTTACTAAAGAGTCTTTCCAAAAATACTTCCTTAAAAAAAAGAAAGTTATGTTAAGTTGAATTAACTTCCTGCTTCTAAATGTGTATATTCAAACCCTATTTTTGAGGACAAGCATAAAAATGATGTAACCTTCATTGAACTTGAATGTTACAGTTCTTGTAGTCTAAAATTCTAAGGAAGAAGTATTAGAAATTGTTTATTGTTGGGTGTAAGTTTGTTGTTTTCCTCCAGAGGGTCTAAATCAGTGGTTTAGACAGGGGCATTTTTTTTATGTTTTATTTTTAAGTAACCTCTAGTTGTTATGGCTGACCCTGTGAGAACGTCTGAGGTATGCCCCAAAGGGAAACTAACTCAGCAGTGTCTCTGAAGGCTGGAGCTGGATATAATGTCTGAAATGAGAACTGAGTATCTGGTTTTAGCTGGAGCTTTGGCTAACTCTTCAGTCCTGGTAATTCTTAAATCGTCATGTCAAGTTCAGGCAGGTGTCCTCTGGACTGTAAGGGCTGTAGTTGGATGCAAGATGACCATTCTTCCAGATGCATTGAACAAAGTGCCCTGGCTCTGACAGCAGGTGGGAGCAGCGAAGGTGCGGGGAGGCAGCCCGAGCGTGATCCCACTGTAACATGTTCCAAGCTGGTATCGCATCTGGATCATGCTTTTGGTGTAGGGGCTGATGGAGCTGGCCTTCATAAATTTGTCTAATACCATTGTTAATCTGTGTATACTTAGACCTCTACAATTTCCTGTGATACAACTTTTAACTGTGCTTGAGGGTGGCAGCTGGGACCACTTCCTTTTTCCTCATGTTGAGTTCTCCATCTGATGCCCTCAATGGGTGCCACCCATTTCCTGCCCGTGGTGATGGATCACTCCTCGGTGACGCTCTCTGTGGCCCATGATTTCACAGAGCTTTCTCATATCCTGCCTTAGCTGTCCCACTCCCAGCCCAATGAGTCTTCATCTGTTTGGTGTCTTCTCACACAAAGGCCTTTCCCCGATTGTCCTTGTTACTTTTGTCGGTGCCTTTTCTGGTTTTGCCACAACTTGTTGGTGAGTTGCCTGACGTCCTGAATTCCCCTCAGTGATTTCAGGATTGCTTACCAGAGTAATAACAGCTAATTGCAGGGCCTGCGGCAGCATATGCATAGCTGTTGGTGCCTTTTCCTTCTCCAGTGTTCATCGCCTTGCATTTACTGGTATTTAATTTAATCTGCAATTATTGTCAGGTCCTTCTGCAACTCTGCTCTTTGACTACACAAAATAATTCTGTGCCAAAAAAGTCATGTAATTTTGGTATCCTTTTCTCCAGATTTTATGTATCATCTAGCTGTGATGTGCTAAGACTTTTCAATGTCTCTGGAATTAGAGACGTGGTAGTTTGGAATGAACAGGGTGAATTTTCACCTTCAGTGTTTTTGACAAAATTTATTTTTAGGTACCTTTGTATGGCTTTAAAAATATTTTTCTGTTTTCAGTAAAAGATACATTTATCCGTGGCAGGATTAGCAGAGAGCGACTGAACAGCATGTGTCCATTAATTCATTCATGTTGCATCATCCTCTTCTATTGCTTATACAGAAATTTTCCTGTTGAATTCTCTTCAGGGCATTACAGCAACTGATTACTCCTTCCCCCCACATCCCTCCTCCCGATCACCTGACTTCACTCGTTAGGGGTTATTTTTTTAGCAAGATGCTGTAATGTGATAGGCACCTTCAGAGTTTTGACAACTTTAAATGGGGTATTGATGGTTTGAACAGTCGTTGGTACCACTGGGAACCTGTGAAGATGTGCCTGGGAAACTGGAGGTAGTGGATGGGATAGAGCAGGGCACAGCTGTTTTCTCCCAGAGGGTTTCTCGTGTTAAAGAAAACCTCGCAGCTCTGCTGTCACTTTATTGAACCTTCTCCAGGGTTGGGAAGCCTGATAATTGAAACCCAGTTGGCTGACATCAATTTCTTAAAGCTTATTTTTTAAGTTACCAGCATGGCCAGTGGAGTACAGTCTCTCAAGAGCATTGCATGCGTGCTTCCTAAATCGTACCCTCTCTTGTCCAAAAATACAGTGATGTCTTGACGCTGTTGCCATGTCAGATCTTGAACAGGAGAAGTTACGGAAAATGTCACAACCCTTTATGCTGCTTAAACGGTGTGTGCTACAAACAGCTGTACTTCGTGACAGCAAGCTGGTCCTTGCCACGTCCCCCTCCTTCCTTCTGTCCTCGACACTTCTGTTTGGCAATGCAGAGCTTCCCTTTACATGCTGTGAAGTGCCCTGAGAGGTTTCTGTGCAGCGTTGCTCCCTGAGAGCAGGTCAGGCCGTGGGGCAGAGAATGATGCACCAGACCTGTGTACCTGTACGGCATGACCAGGAAACCTAAACAACTTTTTTGAGTTCATCTTCCACATGGAAACCAAAGCATTGCTGTAACACAGCCATTCAAGTATCTGGGGTTGTCAGCCAGGAACGCCAGTGCTTATTCTGCAGGTCACAAATTTGAGGTGGTTTCTTGTTAATTCTTAATTATTATAACAATTGGATATTAACTGCTCTTTGTCCTTAACAGTGTAGGCAAGGGTTAAATCAGTGATTTGGGTTTGAAAAGGTCTATGTTGTGCTGAGCTGCGAAATGTCCCTTGTAAAGTTGGAGCGTTTCTTTCACCTCTTCAAAACAAACTCAGTTAGCAAAGGAAAACCTGACGTCAAGTGGGCTTCATCTTTGAAAAGATGTAAATGGCAGAAAAGTCTTCTAAAGATGGAAAATGTCAGAGGTGTGTTTGACATAAATGTCCTCTGAGATTTTAATGTAATGAATATCAAGTGCATCTGGATTGTTGTTATTCCTCCCTTTTCCTTCATCTAGTGCCATAAAATTTTGCACGCTTTTAGTAATTTGGAATATTTTGGGGAGATTACATTCAAAATAAATTTTAAAGGTAGTCTTTAAATCATTGGGGAGAAAGTTCTGCATGAGTCTGTGTGCTCTAGTGCACTTGTTTCTCATCTGTCATTTCTTTTAACTGAGTTCTAGGAAAAAATTACAAAAAAAATAAAAAGCCCCTTTGGAAAAAGTGAACAATAGTTTTGACCAGATGCCATCTCAACTGGATGAAAGGAGAATGGGAATTTAAACACATTCTTCCCCTTTTAGAGTGGTCCAGAGTGAGGAAGCGATGCATGATAGCAGTGGGGAAAAAAGCAACGTTTTCTGTGCTCCTCGAAGTGGAGCCGAGGAGACCATGGAGCCTCTTTTGTCCTGGTCACTCTCTCAGTCCTTTCTGCCATTCCCCTTGGTCACAACCCATCTCTCTCTGCTTGATGGTCCTTCAAAGCCAGTGTTGCTCTTTCTCATCGCCTGTCCTTTTACTGCAGGATCTTTTCGTTTTCATCCCACTTAGGGAGCAACAGAGGAGTGTAGAGGACACAGCAACTAGCTGTATTTTTCATTTTGAGATGCTTTTCTAGCTGATGGAAATGGCAGAGAAAGTTCAGTTTAATTCAGTAATCTTTTTTATGTTTGAAAGCTCAGTTTTGATAATGAGTTGGAGCTTGCTTTTCAGAATTCAGTTTTCTGTACAAATGACATGTTTTCTCAGACATTCATAACCAGGCAAACTGTGGCCTGATTTTCATCAGGATGTCAAAAGAGACTTCCCTAGAAATAAGTGCAATTACCAAGTTTCAGATTCTTCAAAGCACAAAGGTGTGGGAACTTACCCTTCGAACTATCGGATGATTTTCTGACTCTTGACAAACTTGTCTAAGAACTCATTGGAAAGTGTTGAAAAATGAGTTTGCTCTCTGAAACATAGTATTAAAGGAAAATGTCTCACTAACTTCTTCCAAGTCAAACACTGCTGGGATTATCTGGGGAAACGTCAACCCGTCTGCAAAAGCCTTAAGCACCAAAACAAAAAGGGCTGGAAGGTGCAAGGCTCCATCTTTAACTGGAGACATCACTATGAGAGCTGCCTTTTAATGGCTTTGCAGGAAAGGTTTGTTTCCTCAGAATGGTTCAGCTTCATGCTTGGGTCATTTTCTGATGTGCGTTGACCATAAATCCAGATTCAGTGCAGCTGCGCTCAGTAGAAATAAGCTGAGTGGTTTGGTGTCTGTGTAGCAGGACCACATACTGGTTACTGTTCTCAGCTCCCACCGTTTCCCCACAGTGAGCTGAGTTTTGGGATTATTTCTTTTCTTCTTACACCAGACACTTTAGTCTGGCTGACTTGGTGCTTCTCAGCTGGTCTCCACGTTTCTCCAGTGTAAGATTTCTCGCGTGCTGCAGTTCTGCTGTCAAAACCCGAGAGTTAAAAATGGAAAAAAACCCCAACCCTGGGTATGAAGTTTGTTCAGTGCTTACCTTTCCCTCCGTCAAGAATGGCTTGGGGGTTATTTGTGTTAGATTCCTAAAAAAAAGTGCCCTTGTATGACCATATCCTGCATTTGCACTGTGTGGTGGTGATTGTGGTGTAGAGACCCCAAATTCGGAGCCCCCCATAGTCGCTTCCACCGCCGAGGAGAGCTGTGTCTGTGCTGCGTGGAGGTGCCACGTTATTTCCAGCCATCTCGGCTCTCTCTGTGCCATCATGCGGATGAGTACTCTGTCACCTTCCTTTCTCGTACCTGCTTTTGTTCTGTGCTGCGGTTGAGACAAGCTTCCAAACGCTGAGGAAGTTCTTTTTTTGTGTCTACGTTAATACAGATCTATTGAACAACAAAAAAAGAGACTCCGAGCTATAAATAAGATGAAATACTTTGTGGCTGGTGGATGAATTTTGCAGGAAAGCCCATT